CTTTCTCTTTCTCTCTCTTTCTCTCCCTCTCTCCAGGGCATTCCTTGATATTCAAATACAGACCAAACTTGGGGTAGTTGAGTGAGTGGGAGTTGCAAGAGTGAGTTTCAGTGGTTTTATTCTATTTGCACTTATGGATAACACAGAATCTCTTTTAGAAGATTGATGGGATGTGCCATGAGAAGTATATACTCAAAACCTAGTGGTGATCTCTACTCAAATTTACCTATCATAATTCCCCCTAATTAATTGATATCTTAGAATGTTAGGGAATCTTACCTCTGGAAGTAGTGTTATATTCCCTTCTATTAAAAAAAAAAAAATCTTCAACGTGCTAACGTTGTGCATTACTTTAGTGATGTATACCTTAAGCAACTTGCAAGAAGTTTCTTCTTTTTCCTCATAACCACGCTGTTTCAGAAATAAATAAGCCATGTCTATTATAGAACAGGTACCACTTCCTGGGGTTTTTCTTTGGGTGGTAATCACTACCTTGCATACCCCTCCTCTCGCTCCTTCTCTTTCTGATGAATTCCTAAGACTTTCAAAGTCTCTAGAGAGACTGCCAATTCCTCAATGAGCAGATTCATAGTCAATTGACTTTTATGTTCTTCCTTTATGCTAATCAGTACCTTGACAGTAGATACAGTGATTGGTCCTTTTATTCAAAAGTATCCATTCATTCAAAAGTAACAAAAGTATGGTGAACAGTCAAATTAATAACGAATTATAAATCCATTCAAAATTCCTTCAAAAAACTTTTGAATTGAAAAAACATATGCCTAAATCTTGGTCAAACCACTTAACAGCTGATTTACTTTGGACAAATCACTTGACATTGAGTTTCAAACATATATGTAAAACAACTACTTGAGAGAGTTGTTGTGAGGATTGTAATGATACACAAAAACCTTATGATGCAATATGCAGCACATATTAAGTGATCAATTCATGATAGATCCTTATCCAGAGTAAACCAATTATTGACAATTCAGTCAACATTTAAACAGGCAGTTAACAGTCCACATGTTAACTGTCTTGATATCTTAGAATGTTAGGGAACCTTACCTCTGGAAGTAGTGTTAAATCTCTTCTATTTAAAAAAAAAAAAAAAAAAAAAAAAAAAGGCATCTTCAATGTGCTAACCTTGTGCATCACTTTAGTGATGCATACCTCAAGTAACTTGCAAGAAGTTTCTTCTTTTAGTGATATCATGCCTGAATGAAGATCTTACCAGTGGCAGGAGGGGCAGATGTAGAATACAGATGCTTGATACAGGTACATCATTACCATTTAGAAAGTTGCAGTCAGGGCCTGGAATTAAGTTAGGGGAACAGAGACACAAGAGTCGGGGGTTGGGGAGGTGGAGAAGGACCAAGTTCAGTTGCTAAAATTGTGGATTTGGGTATCAGTATTCAGTCTGCCCTGCATTTTCCAACTGCTGGTTCCTCAGCTCCATACAAAATCTTAACAGCGTTACTCAAAGACCTAAGGAACAGGGTTATGATAAAATTATCCCAATCATAGACAAGTTGCTTTTAGCTTTTTATTTTTGTATTAACAGGAGTCTTATTATACATAGGTCTGATAAAACCGGTTTACGATCTTCACTCTGTTTCCAGTGCTGCATAACTGGATAATGTGTGAAGGAAAAACAACGACGAACAAAAAAACTAATTGCTTGGAAGACTTAGCTGAATCTATCCATGAAAACAGAATCAATTTAAACATGTATGCGTTACTTGGACTACATACAAATAACCCATATAAATGGTAGCTCAAACATCTCAAGTGTTTCAGAGAATGTTAGAATCTATTGTTTAAAGTGTCTATCGTCGTCTATGCAAAAATCCAAAGTCATCTGGATCTTTAAAAATTACATGGATAATTTTCCTTCCAAAATGAAGTGAAATCATGATTAATCAGATATATTAGACAATTTGGTCGACATTTAAATAAGCGGCTAATAGCCCACATATTAAGTGTCTTGATATCTTAGAATGTCAGGTACCCTTGCCAGGCGTGGTGGCTCACACCTGTAATCCCAGCACTTTGGGAGGCCCCGGCGGGCAGATCACGAGGTCAGGAGTTCGAAACCAGCCTGACCAATGTGGTGAAACCCTGTCTCTACTGAAAATATAAAAATGAGCCAAGCATGGTGGCGTGCACCTGTAATCCCAGCTATTCAGGAGTCTGAAGTAGGAGAATCGCTTGAACCCGGAAGGCGGAGGTTGCAGTGAGCCAAGATCGCACCACTGCACTCCAGCCTGGGTGACAGAGTAAGACTTCATCTCCAAAAAAAAAAAAAAAAAAAGTTCGGTGCCCTTACCTTTGGAAGTGGTGTTATACTGCCTTCTGTTTATGTTTTTTCCTAAATTAATACATGAAAACTTTTTTTATTTCTGATCAAAGTTAATCAAGCCAAATGAAGCAATTCAAAAATTATCATTAATATTTACTCACTTATAATTGTGATATACTTTGTATACCAAGAATGCCTAGGATATTTGGTGACGTACAGAAATCACTGCTGAACAATGATGCCGACCAAAAGTGAGTGGTGGAGGAGGTTCTTCTTTGAATACATTTGCAGAGGGCAATGTAGCAAGACCTGGGAATTCTGATACAAGGAAGGATTGTCCCATTCTTGTCAGGCATTTATTAGTTATTCTCTATGTAAAAGGACAATCAAATGTCTAATATTTTGGTGTTTACACCTAAACATACATATTCTTGCATCATCTCTTTGTTAAAATTTAAATTAAATTCTACAAATTAAATTTATGCAGATTTAGCTGCTTTCTCCTGAGCAGATTTTCCTATTTCCTATTCCCTCTGAATTTTCATTAGAGTAAATTAAACTCTGAATATGGCCTTTTCATTTCATCCTGAGTAAATCTATGTTGTCTGAAAATTTAAAAAGCCAATTACCATTATATTTGTTATTATTGTCAGCAAAATTAATAAGTCCTTTCAAAATTTTAAAATGTCAATCCTATTATTTTAATAAAAGCATTTATCCCAATTAGGCCTATGTATGGGGAAGTTAATGTAGAAAAAGATGGATTTTACAGATGAGAAATTTTATAATTATTTCTTTCAGAAGTGTCAGATAGTGATAATCCCTCTTTTAATTACTTTAAAGATAAGAACAAAAATAAGAGTAGAAGCTACTTAAAATTTTCCTAGATCACCCTAAGAGTGCAGGACCTGGGAATGTGCTGGGAGAGTCAATCCCCTGGAGAATTCAGTTTCTAAGGCAGGGATCTCAGGCACCATCACATGCATACATATCCAATGGATGTGTCACCCGCTCACCCATACATAACATTCCTTACAGGACAATCTGTGAGTAGACGCTTTCTCCAGCAAACTTTCTATTTTAGAATTAACTAAATAGCAGGGTTCATGTCTAAAATTTTCCCTTGGGGTGGGAGTAGGTGAATACAGAAACAGGCAAATACAACTGCATTGCCACGTGGGAGTGAAAGCTAGGATACATTGTAAAGATCGTTTTGGTAAGCCTGTACCTTTATTTTGCTCTCAATGGCATGTTCCCATATTCATTCTCAATGTAACTCATTTTTTTTCATTTTTTGTTACTCTTCTTCCCCTATTACTCTACATACTCCATTTGGCCTTCTCCTGCCTACAGGTACACTTTTGTATTGTCTGTACAATGTTAAAATAAAGGAAGCAGTAGTTTCTGCTTTCTTGTTTGCTACCTGCACACAATTGTAATTCCTACCTTGATCAGATCTAATACTGCTAACAATCCAGACTTTTAATATGTGATCTGATTCAAGATCACATATCCTAGGAATTGAATGTAAACACTGAGACTCTGACCAATAATGAAAATAGTGTTATCACCCATGTAGCACGCAATATTCATATAGATATCATCCAAGTAGCATTTTATATGCTTGCTGGTAACTCTGAGATAGAAAGAATAATCTTTCTTGAGAATAATAGTGTAGATTCAGGTCTTCGGTGCCCTCTCAACCTACATTCACATGAATTTCACTCATTTTGACATTACAGAGGGACGATCATGAGAGATATGGGAAGGAAGATGTGGGGGACGGGGGCAGCCTCCATTCACACTATAATGGAAGAAAAATGACAGCCCAGTTAGGTTTAGCTGGAATGTAACATATCCACAGCTTTATCACTCTGGAGGCACATTTTGCCATAATAACAAACTACTGAGGAAGAACCACTTTTATCTAGGTCAGAATGACAGACTCCCAAGTGTTAGAGAGCTTGAGGGAACTACGGTTTGAAATATCAGGAAGAAGACTGCAATCTGTACAGAGATTTTCATCAAGTCTCGACACTGCCTTACGTTTTCATCCAATACATTGTAATTACTCCACTGGCTTATAATGGCAAAGCATTTTGATTTCAGATCCTACCAAAATAAAATAAACCACACTTTATGACGACTACATTTATAATAAGATGCAGATGGTAAAGGAAACAGATGCCTCTGACATCATCTCCCATTTGCTTTCAACTTTTGCAGACACTGGCAGTCTGTAAACTCATTCAAAGGGATGCAAGATAAGTCAGGCAGTTTTCCAATTCTGTTTCCAGTTTAAAAAGACACTGCGGTGGCAACACTTTGAGTCACAGAGTGTTAATTCCAGAAAAATAAATTTGATTCTAAGTCTGTGTCAGTCTTTACTGCAAAATTAATCATCTGGGAGGAAAATGCCCCACAATATTGGGAGTTTAGCAATTAGTAACTACTGATTGTTTTGCTTGACAGTGACAGAAAGGATAGGGTAGGAGAGATGTGATGGTGAACAGCTGTAGCTTCAGGGAGGATAAAAAGTGAAAGAAGAGTTTTAAACATACAACCATGTCTAAAATGATCTACCAGCCCTTGGCACCCAGATTTTTCAAAGACTTATTCCTTATTATTTCTAAGTAAAAAACTTTAAGGAGGCTTTTAAAGTCAGTTTCTGACCTCAGAAAAACATATTCATTCTGTATTTCCATCTGTATTTCCCAGAAGAAATCCTACAGTTCTGATAGGAGCTTTCACCATTTCTTCAGTGATATCACTGCACATTATACACAGTAAAAGAAATTATTTTCTTTTTGTGCAAGGTAAGTGTGTCAGAAGACCTTTTCAAAAGGATAAGGAACTTTTGTAGTCCATCTTGAAAGCAAGAGATGCGTGGTAAAGCAGCAATTGCAAGGCCTTTAGCAGTGTTTGAGGTCTCTAGATAGATTAGCACAGTTACAGATGAAGGAGAGTTAGACAAAAACCTTTAAAATGTTCCCCATCTCCCCTGATCCCCATGATATAACTTCATCTACCACTCTGTAGCAGAAACTTTTTAGCAGACAAAATTTTCAGAAACAAAGGCAAGGGAGGTGATGGCATAAAAATAAATCCTGCTAGGCCAAATATGGTGCCATTTTTTAAAACAATCTCTCTGTGCAAATAACACTGAACACACACACACGCACACACACACACAAGAATAAACAAACTCTTCTGATTCATATCCACAAAGTGGGTTGGGAAGTATTATTAGTGCAAATTTCTGCTGACCTGCAGCATTTAGTCGATAAACTTTGGATATCCTAGGCGAGCCATTAGTGTCCAGCAGATGTTTTCAATTAGTTTAATTTCATCTCTAGGCAAGTTCTGTTTCCAAATATTAGTATTAGTTGGTGATATTTCCCCTTCATAGGGAAGGTAAAAAAGGTTTGTAGAGGTGGCAAACAATATTTGGTTTAAACTAGCAGGAGACAAAGGAATTCCAAGAAAGGCAAAAATCCTTTCAGTAGTTTTCTGAGGAAAATGCACAATATCTTCAAACTTGACCAGCTGGTAGCTAGTAGGCAGCAAATCTGTATTTATTCTCAAGGCTGCTGCTGTATTTGCCAGCCACAAGTGAGACAACAGGGACACTGCATTTGATTTGGATTTTGATAATTCTTTCCTCAATGGTTCATACTCGAAAGCATAACCCGAATTTAAGTTACATTTGCCTTTACCTCCCTCTATTTTAAACAATTTTGCTAAATGCTCTGGTACATTCTTCAAAGAATAAAGACTTGGTTTACTATTGTATAACATTGAATAAATCCATGCCCGAGGGTCTCTTACTATGTACAATGCCCTCATCGAAGCTCCTAAAACTTCTTGAAAAAAATGAAGCTTTAACGTCCAGCTCCCACTGCTTAAACTGAGCACAGGACGTGCACTTGGGTAGTAAACCAGGTGTCTCCTCAAAGCCCTAATATATTCAGCATCTCTATCAAAGGCGCCTTTCATTTGACTTCTTTGTTCTGGCAAAGACTCTCTCCTTTTAAATTTTCTTTTTTTGTCCTTATTCATTGCAATATATTGGGCCAGTTTACCCCTACTGGGTTCATGCAGATGGATGTTTTGCAAATGTAATTTTGTGTCCTGGACTAAAGACTGCAACCAGCCTCGGAGTAAACGAAAATGCCCACTGCGGATATCTGACACCTTCCATTCACAAGCATCTACAAATGAGTCGATTTCAAACTCAGTTTCAGGAATATCAATGTAGGCCGTAGGAACCCTGATGTAGAGAAAATCACTACTGTTGAAAAAAAGCTGTTTGAGAATTTCAGCTCCTGAACCAGGAAGTGAGGTAATGACAACATCAGGAAGATCCACGTGGTGCCCTTCAGAAGACAAAGACTTCTTGCTTCCCTCGGCCTCTGTCCTTGTCCATTTTGCACAAATGGGCTGACTACAAGTGCTCCACACATCCAGAAGCTCAATAAACCACAAGGCAATAACCAGAATTAGTATCCATCTCATTAGTTTTCTAAAAGAAAGGTAAAAACGCCATTGGAAAGTTAAAATCACCAAGCTAATGCACAAAATTAATCCAACTGCTATATTAAATTTAAATCCAAAGGGGAAAATAATCCTATCATGTCTTACAGGCTTTACTATTGCTTGAGTGCCCAAACCAAATCGGGTTATTTGGCCTTGATCAGCCACACTGGCAAAGCCACCGAATCCCAGATAATTGAATCTTGTCTTCAGGTTATGGTAATCAGTTACAATAGAAACAACATGTTCGGTATTATTGACATTGAGAGAAATCTGAAGTCCAGAATCGGAACTCTCAATAAATCTGCAGCTGGAAACATTGATATATGGCCCATAAAAGACATATGCAATTCTTGTGATTGTGGATTCCATCTGAAAAGTAACATTAACAAATTGAGTCCACCGTTTTTTAAATTCAGCGGCTTGCTCTGCTTCCTGTATACTGGCCATGGGACTATTGCCATGATGATCAAACCAAAACATTTTGTAGTGTGCATCCCACACATCCATCATGGCACCATTATACCTATTCATAAACTTATATGGGATATATTTAAAATCAATATCCAAATTATGAAAGAAGGCACTGACAGAATTTATTGGGGAATCTTCTTGCCTCTCAATATGATCAACAACTAGCAGAGTTTGGGAATTTAAGAGAAGCAAAGCACGATATACACTTTTCAGTCTCATCGCTGAAGAATAAGCAGACACGGCTTCCCCACTCACAAATATCATTTCCCCATGTTGAGAGGCAGTGATAATTTCCCCAGCTGCATCACCAACCTCCTCACCAGTCCACTTAAGCCACTGTGCACATTCTCCCAGTTGACCTTCCCAGGGCTTATTACACTGGCTTGAGGGTGATGGAGCAAACACCAACACATTGTTAAGGTGGCTCAACTTGGGTCCATAGAGAGCTTCAGAAACAAATACTTGTCCATTGGGGGCAAAAGTAAATGAGTTCTGATCTGGATGCTCATGTCCTGGGTTAAAGCTTCTCCACCCATCAATCCAGGAATATGGCTGAAAATGAACTATGTCATACACAGCTCGTCCTCCCAACTTCCCAGATTTAAAAGACACAAAGGTATTGGTCTGTGTGTTTGGCAACCCAGCCCCATAAGTAACCACACCCCAGTTAGGAAATGTGTGTATTTTTGCAGTACCATATTCAGCAGGCGGCTGTGGTGTGAGCTGGGGATCATACCAGATGTATTCGGTGTGAAGAGTACTCCACCTTTGGGCAGTTGAAGGAACCATCGGTCCATCTTTAGGTCGGTGCTTTCTAATTTGCTGAGCTAACCAATTTCCAGCTCCATTCTTTAAGATGAACTTGTCCAAGAAAACTAGCTGGCTCTCTGGACCATAAAACCAATTATAATTGGAATCTGCTATACCCACAGTTCTTTGGAAGCCAGGTAAAAGGGTGGCATAATAGAACCAAAAGTGCATCTTTAACCAGTTATTATCCAAGTTGTTGATATTAAAATGGCGCTGGGCCAGAAAAACATACTGTGTGATGGATTTAGCTGTGTAGCTTCCATAGGCCACACCTTCATCCAAAGAACCATCAACAATATGATTTAATAGAAACATTGTCTTTTCCATTACATCCACTACAGCCTGTTTCCATATATTTGCTTTAGATCCTTTATCTACTCCAGTTACCAAGGCCCCTGTGAGTAATGCTATCATATTAGTGGCTTGGTGGTTATGGAGAAGCTGTTTGCCCCATGAGCGGACCTTGGAATATTCATACATTTCCTCAGTAATAACCCATATTTTTTCCAGGTATTTTTGTCTTCGATGATTATCTAATAAATTACATAAAAAGTCAAAGGCAGTGGCAAAACCTGTTAAGGAATGGCCAATTGGAACCTCATCTCCTGGTGCATTCTCTACTAGCCAGTCTTTGTAGCCAACCATCCTGTCCATATATTCCAAGACAAATTCAAAGGCAACTTTGTCTTCTGGGCATAACAAACAGTACAATGCTAAAGGAGGAAGATTGTTACCATAAATTTCATTCCACTTGGCAGCAAAATCAGCATGCTTTGGTGGAGGTAGGTAGTACGTTGGGTTGGACAGCATAACTGTCACTGCACTTCTGATAGCTCTAAAAAGATGCAAATGGCTTGTGCGAGACTTTTGTCTCATTGCTTGGATTTCTCCAGCATCAAAATATAAACTTGGATGAAGCATACTTTTCTTCAGCTTTTGGTTGGGTCTGAAATCTTGCACTTTCTGTGTTTTAAACTGATCTATATCATCTGCGAAAACTGCCCACTCAGAGTAATTGCTCACAGATTCCTCAAAAGTAGATAAAGCAAACATCAATAATACTAAGAATAGTAAATGTCCTGTAAACATTAACGCCATGATCCATGGGGGAGCTCCTCCCTTAGGCATACATGTCAGATATGATGCTGAATGTGTTTCCCATCTGGTTAGTATAAAACATACAGTAAAGGCCTTGATAAAACAAAGACTGTAAATCTGATATGCTGTGAAATCCAGCTGACATTCAGTACATTCTAAGCAAGTGCAGTTGCCAGAAAGAGAAAACTTAAATTGTGTATCTCTGTCCCTGGCACAGTTTTGCTTCCAGTAAAACTTCGAAGAACGTTAAACTTTCTAATTTTTCCATAATACACAGGGAAGTGGTACAGTTAAAAAACACTATGAATTTAGCATTTACTTCCTTTACTTAAATCTATTTAACACAAAGACTTGGAACACACATCGTTAAAAAAAGAGAAAAAGCACTCCAAAATTCAAATTAAGAGTCATTTCCAACATAGAAAACCATCACTGGTGATAAGTTCACCACACATATATGATGCATTTGTGTATGTTTGCCCAAAGAAGATGATAAAGTACTGACATTCTTCGAGTGAGTGGACTCAGTTGTCATTCCTCTCAACGTTTTATACTTCTTGTCTTGTGAATGTTTTTCTTCCATTTATGAGAAAGAAACATCCTCAATAAGTGATCAAAGTCTTAGTTGGTTTTAAAAAATTCAAAATTCCTGCCTTCATTTCAAATATTTTTCAGGCTTACTTACTCATCAGCCTATTATGACAAAGAGAAACCATGTTCATATCTTCTTTTATCAGCTTCATGTGTATAACCATAAAAATGCAATCTCTTCAGCCACCTAGATACTTCTCGTCCAATCATGAAGTAACCGCCAACTGGGAAAGAAAATTCCCCTTTCAGCAACAGTGAGGTCTCTCTTCGGTTCTTTTTTCATGACACTCTTTTCTGGGGGTGGGGGACAAAACAAAAATTCTCTGAGGCTCCAGGTATGCTGAGAGTGAACATAAACTGATAGCTTAAACATTCTGCAATCACTTGATAGAAATTTTAGAATCACAGTGAAATCTCATATTATCTGCAACCTAAGCTAGGGCAAGGGATTTTTTTCTTATCCATTTAAACGCACTTATTTGGAACCCAATGACCATCAGCAAACGACAAGCAACTAATACTACAAAATATACAAGATTGAATTCTCCCGACAATATCTATAGTTTAACGCCACCAAAGTGTCTTTAGTCACTTAAAAAAATGTTTCTATTCAAATGCAGTTTACAGAAAGATGAGTCCTACTATCCTTGTTATTCCTTGTTCCCAAGGACCGAGGGACAAAAAACTAAAAGTTGAAAAGACCTTTATTTTAAATCCCGGCGGAAGGTTTAGCTTTCATGGGATCATAAGGTATCTTCCTAATGAGAACTACTCGGACCAGTCACTTTTCTCGGTGGGGAAACCGCGAATCGTGACCAGGCGCCAGGCCTAGGGGCGGTAGCTCCGTGCCTGGCGCTCACCTGTGGCCGCGTCCCTGTCCTCAGGCGGAGCCGCCAGAGGGAGCTCGGACCCCGGTGTCGGAAGACGCCTCTCCGTGCCCGTCCGCGGCTGGAAGAATCTAAGCAAGTTTCAGTCTTGGACAAGTCTCCCCTCTGTAGGAAACATTCAGGCTAGGAGTTTCCTGATCCGCCCCGCCTGTTGCATTTTTTCACTGGCGTCCTCCGACCCCGCCGCCCCCATGCTCCGCTCCCCGCTCTGGGGCTGAGGCAGGAGGTCCAGAGACCCCTGAGCCACCAAGTCCGCTTACCTCAGGCAGATCCGGACGGGGGCTCAGCGCCGCACTGGGCCCCAGGGGAGGCGGAGGCGGAGAGTTCCAGAAAACTGCTCTGCACGGAGGGCCAGGCTCCCGCGGGGCTCCGCGAGACCTCCGCGCCGTCCCCCGCGCTCCGACAGGCGCTGCCCCAGCTCGGTCTCCTCAGCCGCGCTCAGTCCCCGCGCCCCGCACCGCCCGGACACGCCCGCCCTCAGGAAACGCTGGACGCTCGTGGGGGCAACCCCGGATTGCAGGACAGAGCCCAGCGGCCGGCGGGCGCTCTCGGTGGCGCCGTATCCAGCGCAGCGCCCGCGTCCCCAGGCGGTGGTATCGCCGCGGCCGCTGATGCTCTGTGCCAGCTCCGGCCGCGCGGCCCGGGGAGGGCGAGAGACGGCGACGCGGGCCGGCAGGCGGGGGCGGGGCGGAGACAGGACGGGGCGGGGCTGAAGGCGGGGCCTCAGGGAAGGCGAGAGACAGAGACGCGGGCTGGCGGGCGGGGGGCGGGACGGAGACAAGACGGGGCGGGGTCAGAGGCGGGGCTTCAGGGAGGACGGGAGGAGCCGTGAGCAGGCCGGCGGCGGGCGGGGCGGGGCCCACAGCAGGTGAGGCGGGGCCAAGCGCCGCGGGTTTCTAAGCGGAGGAAGCTCTGGGCGTTTGCGTTCTGGTCTTGCAGCGGTGGCCGCGCGCTCCCTGAGGAGTCGAACTGGAGGAGGGGACCGTTTAGGAGTGCGAGAGTCTAAAGACGCTGCCAGGTTGGCGTTAAAACCTTTTGGTTATCGGAAGAGGACAGCTGTATAATAGAACCATAGTGGGGGCTGTGGGATTGACTCAAATGATGGGAGGAGCTGGAGTGGGAGGGGATAAGCCCTGGGACGACAGAAATTATCCTTTTGGAAAGAGCAAGGGCTGGGGAGGGAGGGAACGAGCAGTCCCTTGGAACTGAGAGGCAGCTTGGCTGAGCTTGCTCTCCTTTGGAAAAGCAAAACCAAAATACTCAGATTAATATGGGAGAACAACTTCTGTAGCCCAGATGCTAACAAAGATCAAGGGAAAACAGAAAAGACTAATCAGGTTTACTGATGGAAAACAATTCCTCAGGCAGTATAAATAAGGGAAGCATGGAACAAACAAGTAGAAGGAGCCTCTTTTAAAAATGGGACCTGGTATTCGGTAAAGACCTACATGCAGACAGGAGAAGGCAGTGTGCCCCGGTTACTGCGACATGTGAGTGCAGGGCCAGGGCGTGGAAATCCTAGAGCAGGCTGGGACTTCTGTTGTACTCCACATATGGAACTTCTCACAGATAGCTGAGATGACACTTTGGCATAAACCAACCCAAGGTCTGACCTCAAATGTCAAAAATAATAGCTTAGTAGTAATAAAAATACAGGGAAATATCAAGCTTCCTAAATGAACAATTTCATTCCCAGTTGGGGATTAGTAACGCGTTCAGTCTCTTCATTTCCCATACTATTTTGGTAATATTTAATAGATCTATTTTAACATTTTAAAAATAAATGTCTTGCTTAGATCCTTTACTGGTGAAAATCAAGCAGTAGACGACTGTTAGCAGAATAAATTTCAAATCATTTAACTTTGAGGTGAAATGTGGCCTCTAACTCCTCATCACTCTTCTACTTTGGCCGGTAGTAACCCTAGCCCAGTCCGAATGGCCACGCTTGCTTTTGCTTGGGCGCTTCAGTAACTATGCTTATTTCATTCCTTCCCTCACAGTGTCCTTTACTCAACCACCCCACTTACTACTTAGAATTTTTCTGACTGTTGAAATTATCTGATCATCCTGGCCTCAATTCAGATGTTTACATTCTAATGTAAATAACTCCTGAGTTTCCCCAGCCAGAATGTATTGCTCCAGAACTATATCATTTGTACCAATATTCAGCCCTTTAGGTTGTATATTTTCTGCTTTCTGTTTCAACTGGTTGACTCCTGTACCCTATTCAATACTCCTTCGAGTCATGAGTAGCACTCAAGTCCCCTTTGTAAGTACTATATCTCCTTTGAAATAAGTTGAACCTTTAACAATGGGGCTGATACAGAGCCTCATCTCCTCCACTGAGGTTCATTCCCAAACAAGGATCCTCTTCTGACACAACTTCCTGTAAAATCTGGATTGTGCCTCTACGTGGTCCCTGATAGAGGAAGAGGACCCATGGCCTCCAACCTCATTTATGAGAGAGTAGAGTTGGGGGAGAGGGGGAGCTGACTCCAGAGATTCCTATCTATTTGCAGAGGGGACCCTAGAATTTACGGTTAGTAAACACAGCTAGTAGATGTACAGAACATTTCTCAGAACAAAGTGTGTGGGTAGGGTTATTTCTATGGATCCAAAGTATATCACGATGCAAGGGCAAGGTGAGTCAGAGAGAATTAATGCACGAACATCTGCCAGACAAATATTCTTCCAATATTGTTTTCAGATTTTGAAATATCAATATGATCATTTTCACTTTACAGAAGAATGAATTCAGGTACAGACATTGTGGCCTTTCAGCTCTGCCCCATGCATCTGTGCTGAAGCAGTGGGGATGCAGCTAGCCTCCCAGCGTTCTCAGATGAACTTTCAGACAAATTCATTTTGAACAGACATCTTTTCATAGTGGTAAAATATGAATGCATTAAAATAAAACAAGAGCCACAACTGAACAATTCAAATCATTGGCAGAAAGGGTGGTAGGTAAATGGCACTATTAAAAATGAAGAGTGTCTTGTTTCCTGTGAACTAAAAATGGATAGCTCCAATTATTGCTCCTTCCACACATGAAGATGGTACAAAGTTAGTTAATTATAAATAATGCATCCGACCATAGAAGGGATGAGCTATATGCTATGTTATTGTACATTAAAAACCTTTATGAGTGTGGCAAGAGACACACGTACCAACAGCTGCTAAATTCAGAATCCTAGAGCAGCATCTTATTTTAATGTAAGTGAAGAACAGTGCAGTCTATTGCTCTGGGGATTTCTTTCTATATAAAAGGATCTTAAATCTACATGAGGTTTTACTCCGTGATTTCAAAGTACTTATGAGAATCTGTTTTCTTTATTTGCCTATCTTTCAACCTACCCGCAACCACCTATCTTACAACAGAAACAGTGCTTTCTAGAACAGATTCTCCAGAATAGAAGCCTTTCTCGTGCTCCTTCCCCTCCTTTCTTCCTTCCTTTCTCTCTCTCTCTTTTTTTTTTTTTCTTTTTTAATTCTTCTTTTTAAAATTTTACTTATCCAACATCTATGCCAGAGCCTGGCACTTTTTATTAAATGTTTGGTGAATGTTAAACATGAATTATCGTCCCCATTTTATGACAGAAGAGAAAAAGTCATGAAGGTCTAAAGTAGGTTACTACATTCTAAGCAGAGTCACACACTCTTTCTCCTGACTGTGCTGAGAAGCCTCTTACCGCACAACCCATAATTGGAGCTATGCCTTGAGGTGACTTAGTTCAAGTGAAACATGAAACTGGAAAGTCATACATTTTCAAGAGAATTTCTGCATTAATTGTGTATGTCAAGATAGGCAAATTCAAGCTCTGGGCCTGAGAACGATAAAGTACAAGCCATAAAACAAGCCTAGACACTACATAAAGTCCCTGATCTAAAATCACATTTGTCCATGATCTGTTATTCTGGTGGTTTTTAAATAAATGGGGCCAAGACATTCAAGAACTAGGTGCTGTGCATTCAGCAACTCATATGCGCAGGTCTCCAGTACCTGGGCTTTCACACAGTATAGCCATTTGAATGTGGAGATGGCTTTGTTATTCTTCTCATAGCATAACCCTTCTTTGCTATGGCTTTGCCCGTGAAAGCTCAGATGCAGATTTCTTGAACCACTTACCAGGGCCAGATGTATATTATATCGATCCACTAGCAATATTAGAACTAGTGTCTGCCCCAGAGGTTAGGGATATAGCAGCTGTGACTGTTTAGAAACAGATACCAAAGTGAAGCTGCAAATTTTATTGCCCAATTGGCCAGCAGTAATAGGCCACACCAATAATAAAGACAAAACCACAAATTTAAAGCAGGCAGTAGAGTCTGGAAATACGCTTTTTTTTTTTTCTTTTTTCCCCTGCAATTGCTTTGAATACAAAACATCTCAAAATGACAGGGATTTTGCCTGCAGAGTTGCTAATGAAGATGTGGCTGAGAGTGTTTCTTGAGTTTGTTTATCCAGCTGCACAAGAGTCAGTATGACAGTAACTAGATTTATTAAAACTTAAAAATACCAAAGCCAAATTCGGGGGAAAAAAGTTTCCCCATAAGTCTACTAAAGTCTTGAATTCATAAATGAGAAGCTTTATTGCTACCATATTTGCTTACATACAGTTTAGCTTTTGATATGAAAGAAAATTTTAAACAAAGTAAAACTTGCAAAGGGATCATACGATGGTTTCTCCAGGGCTCTTCCACCCTCCGTTTCTCCTGGCCTGATGTCCTTACTCCAGTGTTTCTCAACAGGACATTTGGCAATATCTGGAGAAATTTCAGTATTGGTCTTGGATAGTGGGAGGGACTGCTGGAATCTAGTGAATAGACATCAGGATGCTACTAAATATCCTGCAATGCACAGGACAACTTCCCCTCCCCTCTTGTCTCACAAAACAAAGAATTATCCAGCCCGGAAAGTCAGTTGCTGAGAATGAGAAACTCTGACCCATCCCACTGGCTCTAAAAATTGATTATGTGCAAATTGTTGGTAGTTCAAATCAGTTTCTAAATTGTCCACCTGACTTGCCAATTACCTATTTGCAGTTTGTTCTAGAGCCAGCCGTTATGGCTAAAATGTACGTGTCCCTCCAAAATTTATATGTTGGAACCAATGTGGTAGTATTAAGAGGTGGAGCCATTTGGGAAGTCCTTTTCTCATGAATGACATTAGTGCCTTATAAAAGAGGTTGAAGATAGTGCTTTGGTCTCTTTTTGGCCTTTTGGTCTCAGTCCATTTTGTGCTCCCGTAACAATACCTGACCCTGGATAATTTATAATGAATGGAAATTTATTTCCTCAAAGTTTTGGAGGCTGGGAAGGCCAAGGTCAAGGTGCTGGCAGATTAGGGCCCAGTCTTTCTGCTGCAAAGATGGCACCTGAATGCGGCAGCCTCCAGAGAGGAAGGACATTATATCTTCACATGGCAGGAAACCCACTCTCAAAAGCCCTTTTTATGGAGCATTAATCCATTCTTCGTGAACTAAACAGCTTTCTCATTTGGCCACACCTCCCAAAACTGTTGCATTGGGGATACGTTTCCAGCACTTGGACTTTGGGGAACACGTTGAGACCACCGCGCCCTCCATCTCTTCCTCCACATGAGGACACAGTGTTCATTTCTTTATTTCCTCTTCCACTGTGTGAGGATGCAGCAAGAGATATCATCT